TTCCCTTATTCGAAAATGTGGACAGTTTAAGGGATACACGTTAAATAAATAGAATTAATAAAATAAAAAAATAAAAATAGAAATAAAATTTAATTTGACCCGAAATTAAAGGATTCGGCTAAATTATCTTCGTCATCGTCAAATTCTGGTAACACTATAAAGATTAAAAAAATATATTTAGGCAAAAGACAAACTCTTTGTATAAAAATTCATCAATTTTGAATAAAAATATATTTTTTCAAATTAACAAATTATAATAGATTTTTACAGATTATGAAAGAGAAAGTTTGAAGGTATTTATTATGGAGGCTTGTGTAAAAAAAAAATGGGATAAAAAATAAATGAAAGTGTCACATCAATTCATTTGCATCATGGTAGGAGGTAACATTACAATTCATCATATTACATTACAAGATATAGTTTATTTTCTAGGGAGCATGCTCGTTCCAATTTGAATTCTAACTTACAAAATTTGCTTTCAAGAATTTTAATAATTATTAAATAAAAAAATTTTGTATGTCACAGGCTATATTAATTCGCATCATTAATAAATTGCTGAATGTTACTATTACTGTCAAATTGATTCACACAATTATAAAAAATCACAATTTGATATGCTTGACTGTTTGATTTGGCGGTGACATACAATAGAGTTTTCCCATAATCACAAGCATTTTTTTATAATAGACTGTGATATCTGGTTGAACTCTCTTATTTTTTTTGGTGGTAGTTGTACATTTAATTGTCTTGTTAAAATAGTATACTATAATATTACCATTTGCAAAATCTCACGCAAGTTCAATCATATATATAACATGAACATTAATAAGATCCATAACATCAGAAAAACAAAAGTACATAATCTAGAGGCATAAAACGACTTCGAAGTCAGATGTCCAAGTTTTTCAGAGAAGGCTTCAGTATCAAGAAGAGATGGAAATTTAAGTGGTGGTGTTTATGTAGAAATATTTCTTTCATGACAAGGAGCTAAATTTATATTTACCCTGTCCATTTTCAAGCAATCAGATTCGAACTCAATAAGTCCCAGAAAGTCCCAGGAAAGGACCCTGCTCATTGTTGTGTAAATCTGACCTGCTGCAAACATATTTTTTGTCAACCACCAGAGTCAACAGAATTGTTCTCATTTGAATTTTTATGATTGTATGTTAAATTAAAAAATTTTAATTTTGTTTGAAGAATAAAAATTCCTTTCGGAGAAAACAAATAAAAATCTATTGATTATATTAAAAATATCAATGAAAAATTTCCTTTTGGAGAAAGCAAATAAAATCAGATTGATCTTTAATTTGACAAACATGAATAAAAAGATCTCAATTAAGAAAAAAAAAGCTTGTTGATTTCTTTTAACGATCGAGATTCGTTTGATGCTTATCCTTGAGAAAAAAGAAACTCGATTGGGGATAAATAAACAAATACGAGGAAATTCGTAAATAACTTTTGATTCACAAAATCATTATCATGAGGATTCTTCTTTGCGAAGGATCTTTTTTCTTTTAATTAAAAAGAAAAAAGCTGAAATATTATTGTAAACGTTTGTTTAAAAAATTCTTTTGATATATTGATAGGAAAAATAGTTTTTTTTTTGATTTCGGGCGGCTTACTTGGGTACAGAATTCTGATTGGCCAATACTAATCTGTATTTCACAAAACTCTGCCTTCCTGGGAGCCGTTAAACATTTTACCTTTTGTTTTTGACCGCTTGAGAAACAGAGGTATCAATGTCGTAAATAATATATTTCGTTTTTGTGGATGCATCTAATCTTAAGCATTATATTTCCTTTATTATCATTATTTTTTTCATCACACGTGAATCAATTAATCATTTATTATATATTATGTACATCCGTCAAGAAAGACGAACTATCTATTTCTCGAATGGGTTTGGGCTTTTAATCTTTATTAATGATATCAGATTTGTTGCAATGATTCTTTAATAAATAAATAAATTTTTTGCTCAACGAATAAACAACAATATAGGGTATGTCACAACCCTTGCATTTGAACGTAATGTGTAAAGCAAAATCGTGGAATGCCGTTTTGGCACTACGTATCTCAATCCTCGAATTTGAATTCAACGCAAAAGCAAAACCGACGCACCATTTTTTTGGTAATTTTTGGTCCACGAGTGGGTAGCGGGTCTATTTGTATGTTTTTGTAATAATTTATTAGACTATTCAATCAATGCACCATTCAAAGAATATCGTCGCACTACAATGCCTACTTGTATTTCACGAAACTCACTGTTACATCTCGGTTTAAACGCAAATAAATAATCGAAACATTTGTCGTGTCACCATATCCTTCCAAAATCTGTAAGGCTTGTAATTTTCGTGCTAGTTATCCTTTTTTTTGTTTAGTCGTGCTTGGTTTTTTCGGTTTTTGGCACGATCAACGTTTTCACCTTATTTTAGTTGATTTTGTGTCGTATGGCAAATAGTTTATTTCTTAAATAGTTCATTAACAAGTGAGCAGTGAAGGAGCGAGTAACGTAACTAACGGTTGGAAAAAAAATCTATTTTTAAAACCTAATTTTTTGGGGAGGAATTTATGTTGTCGTTGGGTGGTACAGTGCCGGTCACAAGTACACATCCAATTGTTTCAATTTTAAAATTTTGATGATCTTTCCAAAATAAGCAATA